TGTAAAATTATTTATGCAGTTGGCAAAATTGCTCTTTTCTTTCGCAAGTGATGACACCCCCCATCCCCCTCCTCCCCTTCCTCTCCCCGATGATACGGATCGACGTCAACGACACAGATTGTAGAAGCAAATGATGATGATGATGATGATTATCGAAGGGGATATTTTCTTGTCGTTACCTTTGACCTTCTTTTTTCCTTCTTCGACATCATCATTTTCTTTCCTTTGAAATTTCTCGAACGATTGATATTATATTCTGTTTTTTTTTTTTGTTTTTGTACAGGTACCATCACATAACTGTGTTGTTGTACTCGTGGTTTTCGTACACCGAATACACTTCCTCCGCCAGATGGTTCATCGTTATGAATTATTGTGTTCATTCTGTCATGTATTCCTATTACGCGCTCAAAAGCATGGGATATCGTCCTTACAAATCCATACAGGTAAGAATATTATTATTATTATTATTATTATTATCATCACTACCTTCTCTGCTTTTTATTATTTTCGCTCAAATTGCTTCCACGTTCTCCATTAGGTTATTACTTACGTAAAAAAAAAAAAAAAAAAAAAAAAAAATTACTTCCTGTGTGTAGCGTAGTGGAGTCAAGACCCCCTCGGGGGGGGGGGTCTTACATACATCGATTACATAATATAACGAATGTTTTCCCGGACCTTTCTCTACATTTTTAAATTATTCTCCTGCCACGTATTTTCAATCGGCGGTTGCATGTTTATTCTCGTGCCGCGTAACTTTCATCGTCCTTTCTCTCTCTCTTTTTTTTTTTTTTTTTTTTTTCGTCTGCAACGTAATAACGGCGGTTTTTTTGAGGGTTCGTACGGTTTTTCGTCCCCTTCCCCTTCCCTCCCTCCCCGACGGGGGAAGGGAAATAAAAGGTTTTGCGGGGGAAAAAAAAAAAAAAAAAGGAACCAATTGTGATTTGATTTTAGATGATAATAACGACTCTTCAACTCATTCAAATGGTCGTCGGATGTTTCATTAATCTTTGGGCGTATAATTTTATAAATTCCGTTCCGTCTTCGTCGTCAATGGAAAGCAGCGGACCTTATTTCTGTCACATTTCCAAACTCAACATAAAACTTTCCGTCGCAATGTATTTTAGTTATTTCGTGTTGTTTTCGCGGTTCTTTTACAAGAATTACATAAACAAGGATTACAACGTGAAAGAACATCATTCCAACGGTTACGAACAACAACAACAACAACAAACGAACAAAATTAAAACGAGCAACAAGAGCGTGACGAGAGGTGGTGGAGTAGGAGTAGGAGGGACGCCGGCCGGAAATGCCATATCCTCGAACGCGATTGAAAATAATTACAAGGCAAAATATCATTAACGATCGTCTGCTATCTCCTCGCGAAGATGACGATGATGATGATGATGACGGCCACTACCACCCGCGATAATATCGTGGCGGTAAATAATTAATTATTAATAATTCTATATGTTAAGTTACGACTCCCGCACACACATTTCGAAATTTCGTTTTGTATGATATGTAGCACATTCACACACACACACACACAAACAAACAAACACGAAAACAAACGAAAAACACACGCGCGCGTTTGATTGTTTTACAGCACACCATACATATATAAAACACGAAGGACGCGGATGATTTAAAAAAAAAAAAGTGTGACGTAACAATGTTTTGTTTTGTTTACGTCGCTAACGTGACGTAATCGTGACGCAATCGTGATTTCTTTCCTCGCCGTATTTTCTCTCTCTCTCTCTCTCTCTCACACACACACACACCCGCGCGCGGGCTCGCAAATACACGAAACGTGTACGCGTGGAAAAAAAAAATTTTTTTAATTTGTGATGTATTAATCGATTAGAGAAAAAAGAGCGAAATTCGATTATTTTCGATTATCGAGAAAGAACGAGTTGGCGCGAAATTGTGCTACTGTGTAACCCGCTTAACGCTCTTTTACGCGTTCTTTTCGTTCGAATTTTTGAAAAAAATTGTGCAAAGTATTATTATTATTATTATTTGTTTGTTGATGATGATTCCACAAGGTCGTCGTAGACGTTTAAAAAAAAAAAAAAAAAAAAAAAGGTCGTAAAGGT